TCCACTCTCCAGAAAGCCATACGAATCAAACATTCTGCCGAACATCACAACCTTCAGAGTATCGGCTCCATGATCCTGGGTAGCTGGTTTGAGGTCCTTGAATGGGGTAGGTGGCATTGGAGCAGACAATTGAGATTGAATTTGAACGGAGAGCGGTGTTGGCGTGGTTGGCATCGCTGGAGAGGATGGATGATGAACTGGAGTAGTTGGAACTGGGGTTCGCGTGGCTTTTGGAGTGGCGGCTTCTGGTGGCGAACGGGAGCGCACAGAATCCCCATCAGATCCTGTCTCGGCTCCGGAGGTGCTGGCGTCGGAGTCATCGCGGTGATGCTTTGATGGCGGTCCATCTCGGATGCGGGGCTGAGCCGAGAGAGTTCGGGTGATCAAGTTACCGAGGTGTTCGCCGGCCTTTTCGAAGAGACTCGTGATGAGGTCGTCCTCGGCGAAACGTGCTTCGATGATGGCTCTGGCTGAAAAGAAATTCCAGTGAAATTGAGGGATTTTTTGGAGAGGAAAATCGATAAATTTCAGTTGATTTTGAGCAAAAACTGCAAACTTTCCAGGTGAAAAATGGCAAATTTCAGGTCAAAAATGGCGTATTTCAGGTCAAAAATTGCACATTTCTGGTCAAAAATTGCACATTTCTGGTCAAAAACGGCAATTTTCAGGCCAAAAATGGAAATTTTCTGTTCAAAAATAGCGATTTTCAGGTCAAAAGTGGCAAATTTCTGGTCAAAAATAGCGATTTTCAAGTCAAAAATGGCGAATTTCAGGTCAAAAATGGCAATTTTTGAAGCCGAAAATCGAAAAATTGAAAATTGAGACAAACCTTCGTCCGACTCGGCCATCCGTTGCACAATCTCATCCTTGAAATCCATGAAGAAGTTGAGGTCGCCTTCATCGATTTCTGCAGAAAAATTGGGTTATATGGGTCAAATTGGCTGGAAAATGAGCCAAAATCACACAATTGAGACTAAAAATCACTCGATTTTGCAAATTTTTGGCTCGAAAAAGGCAATTTCTGAACGTTTTTTCATCAAAAATAACACATTTTTGACACAAAAACTGCCAAAATGGCTCAAAATTGATCATTTCCAGTTCAAATTCCTTCTGAAAATCCTTACGCAGCGATGGAGTGATGTTCGGCCGTTGATCATTCTGATCCTGTTGTTCTCCCTTAGCCGCCGCGTCCGCTTGCTCGGCCAGTGCTGAAAAATAGGATTTTTAGGCTTTTTTGGGCTTTTCAGGCCAAAACTCACCTCGCTCTTTCATTGCTCTCATAATCTTCCACGCTTGCTCACGGTATCGCTTCATGCACGCGTTCTCCATCTCGAATGGTCCTGGAAATGGGGGAAAAGTTGGTTTAAGGCCGATTTTAGGATTTTTAGGTCAATTTGGGCTAATTTTACGCTTATTTTGTCAATTTCCGACCGTTTAGGCCAGTTTTAGACCACTTTTATTCAGTTTTCTACTTTTAAAAGCATTTTTAGGAAATTTTTAGCTTTTTGAGTCCATTCTGGACGATTTCAGACCATTTTAAGCTATTTTCAACGCACTCACTGGCTGCCAAGACCTCGGTGACTCTTGCCAAACGATGCCTCATTTTCGCGGTGAACAACAGCTCGTTCATCTCGAAGACCTCCATGTCTGGGAAGATTTCCTTCTGGAAAATTTCGCGAATGAAATCCAGCTTCTTGGGTCCTTGGACAGTCTCAATCTCCTGGATAACCATTTGCAACGCGGTCCTTGCCAGCCAATACGCGCCGCCGGCCTCCGAAGCTTCTGGAATCGTGTCGAGGAACATGATCTCCTTGCTATTCTTGACCTTCTTCTTGCAGAACGTGTCTGTTCCCGATTGGAGCGCGATTCCATCGTCGTAGAGTTCGAAATGCGTCTTCATGACCAAATCGATCTCAGGGAGAACCGCGAATTTCTTGGAAATTCCCTGATCGTTGATGAACTTTTCGGTGAAAAATCGCTCGAATTCCAGCATTTTGTGGTCTTGCTCTTGTGGGAAAACGACGACGATCTTGCGAATGATCGCGCCGGATTTCCAATTATCGATTTTCGTCACTTTTTGCATCAATTTTTGAATTCCATCGGCGATGAATTCCGCGTTTTTGTCGATCGGAATCATTTGAAGATCGGTTCCAGCGGCGACGTGCCAGTTACGGTAACCTTCATCCGTTTCGTTGGACTCTTTCGTGCGCTTGATGGCGCAGATTCTCGTGCAAGCGATGCTTCCCTCGACGCCAATGTAGTAGTACTCCATTGCGAGCTGGAAAAAATTTTATAAAAAACTTTGAAAAATGCTTTCAAAATGAACCGGAATACTTTGTTTTTTTTGCTGCGAAAAATTCGAAATTTGGCGCCACCGCCGAAAATGTAGATCAGAATTGTAGATCAAAAAATTTAGATCAAAAAACTTTTTTTTACATCTGAAGTTGGGGGTA